ACACACACACACACACACACACACACACACACACACACACACACACACACACACACACACACACACACACACACTTGGCAGAGTGGAATGCCACCACTCCTCTTTTTATCTCTTATGCAGAGTGGGAGGAGCTCGGTTTCAGTGTCACAGTGACATCACCGTTTAGAGACACAAGCAGGAGCAGAGAAAGTTCTCAAACGTTTTACAAAAGTAAAAATAGCAGAAAAAATAGTGTCAAACTGCCCAAGTCTAAGTAAAATGTCTGTGTGAAACTTAACTTAGTAAGTAAAAAGGAATTCTGCTGACTGTTGTAATATCAAGAGCAAATCTAGTCATGACGAAGAACAGCTTTAGTTTGTCAGGTGACAACATCATTGCAATTTTGGTTTTGGGTATTTTCATGAAAGCGTGAAAGAAAAACAGGAAGATGGAAGAAAGTAACCATGTGAAACGCCAAAGCCTGTCAGCGAGGTTGAAGGGTATGTTATCTTTTAAAATAATCACCAAAATGACACGTCACTACAATTATTCAAATCTGAGCTTAAAATTGTGATGTTTTATCAAAATTGCTTAAACCTAAGTCTTCATCAAACAACTGCCAAACTGTTTGCCACAGATCCTGCAAATAAAAAACAAGAAACCCTTTGACACGTGACAAAAAATCTGAAACTATTTTGCTGAGTTGCAAGCTGGGTTAACACAGAAAAGACAAGAGATGACATGAGAGGCTGAGAGGAAATTAAAACATAGTTCATCAATAAAGTAAATGCAGCATGGCTCAAAAGTGTTATACACAGGAACAAGCTGTCAGCACGTTTTTAGAGGATTCGTGTGATGAAATATCTTTCTAGAACTGATGTGCAGAGTGGTTTGAAAAATATTTAATTTGAAGAGGTTGTAAAAATGTAAACAGGTAAATGTGTATCGTATGTCAAGTCACCACCAGTACTAGAAACTGCCTGAAAATGTTGTTCATGTTGATTTCAAGTTTTTTTTTTAATTTTGAAAAACAAATTAGACTTTTCATTTTTTCATGATGTATGGCATTATAACTGTGTTACGCTGCACAAAAGACATTTTTGGGTTCTGCCTTCTTCTAGACATGTTCTGTTTCCAAAGAGATGAAAGACTAGAAACAGTGAAAAGTGAGCCCACAATGATTAAAAACGTGACAGGAGCAAAGAAACGCCCAGAAGCCGCTTGAGTCTCAGAGGGTTTCAGAAAGTGATGCTGATCCTATTTCAAATTAAATGTAATATTTAAATGTGCAAATCAAATTCTGCACAAAAAGATAAATGAAGAGGCAAGCAGAGCGAAATATTTTTACACTTTGAGCGCTATCCCGATAGGAGCGAATTACCTCTCATTGCTTTCAAAGTGACGTCACTTTTCATGCAGCACTCCCAGCAGGGCTGCATTCCACAGTTTCACTCCTCCTCCTCCTCCTCCCGGCTGAAGTGTGTCTGTAGGTGACTGTTTGACTCTCAGCCTCTCAGCTGCCCACCAGCCTGAACACACAACGGTGAGAAAGAAGAAGGACTGTCAATGAAACAGGAGCTTCAGCTGGAAGGTGAGTGTGTTAAGATTCTTCTTAAAGCTCTACTAACCTTCAGTCAGGGAGATAGTAGTTATCTTGTTGAAAAAAATGTAATCTACTTTGTTTTTGGGTCTATAAATTTAAGCTATTCAAGACGAACCCAGCAGTCATTCCTCTTTAAATTAACTGTAAATTAATTTTTTATGTAATATTTAATTTATATTTCATACACTAATATTACAAGTTGTTATTATTTTATGATTTAATACATTTTTTATCCCATTTTCGGTTGTTTTGTTGTTTCCTGTCTTGTAACCTGTAGAGCAGTTTGGTCAGCTCCACTTAAGAACATTAAAATGATTCATAGCAGCATCAGAACAGACAAAATAGTCGAGTCAGTTGCAATCAGTTCACTAAAAGTGAGAAGAAACACAGGCACAGATAAAATCAAGTTTACAAATTCAGTTAAAATAAGCATTTTCATTTTGCAAAAAGCAATCCCATCAATCAGCCCTAGTTTATAAGTCATGAAGAAATCTAATTTACAAATGTGATTTAGTTAATCGGAGTTGCAGAGCTTAAAATACAGAACAGGCAATACACTCAAAGACGTTATGAGAATTAGATTTTTATCATTTCTTAATATTTTTATACAAGCAAAAAGGTTTTTAAAGCTCACTTCTTAAGGCGAACAAGTATTTTTCTATCAAGAAATGAAGAGAGCTGTCACCACTTTCAAGTCTTATATATTTAGATGAGTAAAATTTGTGATTATCCACATTAAAAAAAAATTAAGTTAGTTTCTAAGACTCTGAGGACTTAAAGCACCAATTGATTAATTTTCTGAATGATGGTGAGACTGAAACCGATGCTGAACAGAGGAATCTAGTAAACAGAGAGTGAAGGTATTTGTGGGTGGAGCCTGAGTCTTCCAGGAATGTCAGCGTGTTCTGCCACATTCCTGCACTCAGCAAACCTGTGTGTCTTCTCCTGCAAATGTGTGACAAGCACACAAACACACACCTTCCCACACTTCACACACCTGTTCTAAAATTATACACTTACCTGTGTGGTAAACTGAGCACTTTAAGGGTTCCTCAAACGTAAGACAAAAATAAAGTCACTTCAAGAAGTATTAAGACCCCTTTGCTTTTTGCACACCTGCCATTTATTCCATCTTTCTACATTCAGTATCCCATAATAGCGTTTTGCTGTGGCTTCCAACTGTGTGTCGACACGTCTCACTTGCTTTCATAATCTTTGAGATTTACTTACTGGAGTCCACCTGAGGCAACCTGAATTGCTTGTACAGTTAAGTTGAGGAAGTTGTACACCTGTGTATATATAAGACCCCACTGCTGCATCACAGTGCATGTCAAAGACTGAGCCCTGAAATCCAAGAACTCTCTATAAAGAGGTTTAACTGAGCAGACATAGATCAGGGTGAGGGTATAAAAGCATTTCTAAAGCTCTGAGTGTTCCCAGGATCACAGTGGCCTCAATAACTCAGAAGTCTGGAAACACCAACAAGGTTGCTTGTCCAACCAGAGTAACCGAACAAGTACATCCATGGTCAGGGTGGTGATAAAGAACCCGACAGTCCCTCTACTAGAGCTTTAGAAATCCTCTGCAGAGATGGGAAAGCTGCTGGAAGGACAATCATCTCAGCTGGAGGAAGCCATTCCAAGTAAAAGACACATGACAGCCCGCATGGATTTTGACAAACCACATTTTAAAGACTCCGAGAGAACAAGGAAAAAGACTGTCTGATCTGATAAGATAAAAACTGGAACTCTTTGGGCACAACTCCAAACACTATGTCTTCTAAACAGCAGGCACAGCTAATCACCTGCTAACACCGTCCTTACACTGAAGCACGGTGGTGGCAAGCAAGCATCATGTTATGGGGCTGCTTGTCAGCAGCGGGGACAGCGAGATTGGTCAGGACAAATCCCTATTTTGGATAATTTCAGCACCACAATGACCTGAAGCAAGCAGCCAAGACAACTCTTGAGTGGCTTTAAGAGGAGTCTCTGACTGTCCTCGAGTGGTGCAGCTAGAGTCCAGACTTCAACCCCACACAACATCTGTAGACAGACCTGAAGGTTGAAGTTTAGATGTTTCCCATCCAATTTCACCATGCTTGAGTGGATCTGCTGATAGAATAAGATAAACTGCCCAAATCCAGATGTGCAAGGCCTGTAGAAACTTATCCAAGAGGACCACAAACTCCAAAGTGCTGAATAAGGTTCCAACTGCCTTTGTAAGTGAGAGATTTCAGTTTTTGGCTCTACTAAGCTAGCAAAACAACTGAGTGTAGATTGGTGGGGTGAAAAAACAACAACTATTTTATTCATTTAAATAAAATATAATAAAACATGCAAACAAAGAAGAGGTCTGGTAATCTTGTAGGTCAACAACAACTGTGAGACCTAAATGAACAATTGCGGGCTGCATCTGTGAGAGACACTTAAACAATAAATCTTAATTTCCTTATCACCAGGCTAGAGTGAGATTTGAAACTTTACATTTCCACTGAATCAAATTTCGAAATGGGAAAATAAATGATAGCCTTATTACAACGACTCAGTGAAACTGATGCTATTGGATGTATTCCAAAAAATCTCAACAGCAACTCTACCAAATTTGAAGCAACAGAAATGAAGCACAACAATGCTGCATCTATTTTAGTCATAGTTGCATAAGGCAGCCTCTTCAGTAAATCACCACATTCAGCAACCTTCGAAAAATGGCACCAGTTCAGTGTTTACAACAGATAAAGTCTGGTTCTGATACAGGGACCTCCAGGGTTAGTTAATAATTAGTTTGGCTTAACAACACCGCACAGTGTATCCACTGTGTGCTGTTTTATGTACGCCTAATAAGTGTGAATGGAGTAAATGTGTTTAGTTACTCTCCGCGAAGATCTTTAGGAATAAATAAAAGTAAAATGAAAGTCAGTTTGAAGGAACAACTGGTCTTGCCTGCTTTTGAATGTAAACGTGAGGAGAGACAGTGAGAGTAAAGACGTATCTGAAAAATATTTGCTGATGTGTCAACTGCTTTCAAACAGTGTGTTGTTTATCTTACATTGTCTCACTAGCTTTTGGTGCCAAAATTCCCAGAGTAGAAAATTCCCCAACATGAGTATTGGGTGTCAGTTCACCCTTCTGTATTGTGACATCATGAGAGAGTGACATCTTATACTTGTTTTCACCTTCAGGTTGCTTCAATTCACACACATCATCCAGGAGATGGATTACATTTTTGTACAGAAACAGCAGGCTGAGAAAGTTGCCATGTTCTTATGACAAAATGTGTTTTTTGATAAATGTAACGCAGCCTGATTTAAACGTATTGTTCAGATAAAATGGTCATAGTGCTTCTTATCAATGCTTTTCATTTAATCATTCTGACAAGGGCAAATAAAATGCATTCAAGTGCCAGTTTAACCAAATCTCACCAAAATCTTTTCTCGCATACTTTTGTGATATCTATTGAGTATTTGGGCCACTGTAGGAGAAAAATATTCTGAAATTTAAAGAGAGATGACATGTTTCGAGCACAGCAAAATCATAAGCCTCTCTCAGATATACATGCCTTTCTGTTGATCTCACTGCATGTGAACACGTTGGCTTCATGTCTGAATAAGCACCTTGCTCACTCTTCTGTAAAAGTTACGACAACAGTCTAACTGGGTTTGACCTAGAAACATTTCTGTCTCGTTCAATATGCATAAGTCTGAAATGCACGCCATCATATTAACGAATAGTAAAGTCAATTCAAGTCACCAGTATTTATATAGCAGATTTGAAAGAAATAGTTACAAAAAATAGTGGTTTCCAACCTTTTGGGGTCTCCACAAAAAGCAATGTGTAGGCTTATTCACATTTCAGGTGTCTGTAGGTAGACATTAGCGAGGGTTAAACAATTTGGAGAAAACATTAAATTAGGATTTTTCTGACAGATATTGCAATACAAGTTTTAGGGTCTTGCCTCAGTTCAATACTCACTCTGTAATATAAAGATTTAAAACATCTTGAAGCATTATCCCATGAGAAACCACCAAAAGTGTGACTGTTGCACAAGGAGGATGCAGTGAATTTGTGAAAACCACTGACACAACAGCTTCAACCCTGGGTCAGACGCACTGTCTAATGTATATTGTAAAGTGCAGTCTTTGCGATTTGCTAATTGCAAGATTCTGACTTGACTAATTGTTCAGCCCTATTAGTGGTTAAAACTTGCTCCACCTGCTGCAGCTACAACAGTAACATGCTGCCGACACATAGAGACTTCACTGTTGCAAATCCATGATATCATACGTTACACAGCACTTATTGTATGAAAAGCACAGGTGGAATTAGAGCATGTGTCCTAGTAAACTGGTCCAGTGAGCCCTACATGGAATGCAGCCATCAGAAATGTAAATACACCTGTTTACTTTCTGCTATTATATTTCTGCTGTGAGAAAGGTGCAAACCAGGATCTTATCTCTCTTCAGTGGAATGCAGTTGTTTACATCTGTGTACATTGTTACCTCTTAGTGTCGGCTGTTGCTAAAATTGTCAATTTAACCTGCATCATGCCCCCTATTAGCGACACAACTCCAGCAAAGCAAGACTGATAACATTGACACCGCTATCACCTGGAAGTAAATGCTAAATGCTTCCCAGTTCTTCTTAGGACTTCTCAGACTTAGGGTGAAGGCAGGGGACACCCTGGACAGGTCACCAGTCTATCACAGGGCCACACTTAGAGACAGACAACCAAGCACACTCACATTCACACCTACGGACAATTTAGAATCACCAATTAACCTCAACATATTTTTGGACCTTGTGGGAGGAAGCCGGAGAACCCAGAGAGAACCCACGCTGCACTGGGAGAACATGCAAACTCCATGCAGAAAGATCCTGGGTGTCCTCACCTGGATGCAAACCGGCGACCTTCTAGCTGCGAAGCAACAATGCCAACCACCGAGCCACCTTGCAGCCCATGATACAACCAAGCATGCAATATGTTGGAAATGATAATGGACACGTAGACAGTGGGGTCATAGGCCAGAAATCCCAGGTCAGCAGCAAGTGTGTCCATCATGTAGTGCTGCATATGTGCAACCTGTTAGTGCAGGTTTATGGAATGTTGTCCTACTCTTCCTGAGGGGTTTGTTAAAGTTGGTGGCATTGTGTAAAACAGGATGACATTCAGAATCTACAACAGCTATTTAATACCCTTCTCCACTGGACATCTCTTGCAGTGATTTTTATTTTTTTTGGTTTACAATGATGTTTTCTGATTCGGTTACTCATGTGTTCATCTCCTTGCAGGTCACAGGCGGTGCTGAGAGCGAGTGATGGAGCTGAAGGTGTGGGTGGAGGGTGTGGTCAGAGTGGTTTGTGGCCTGTCACTGACCACTTCATGTCAGGACGTCGTCATAGCTCTCGCACAAGCAATTGGTAAGTTTTCTAGTGTTACCATCATTCAACATAGGCTCGGCCACGTCATTATAAACACATTTTACTTCATGAAAAAGTTTTTCTTTTAAATATGTCTGATAGCACCCCCCTTAGCACAGACTTTACAGTTTTATCTTCATTTGCTATTCCTTGAATAGCATCAGTTTTAGAATGTGTTCATTAGGCCCTTTTTCATTGTAAACACTACAAACTGTGGTGGAGATAATCTAAGACTCTGAGCATGTTAGTCGTCTTTTCTGACACACCAGTACACAAATCTAAAGTGCTCTTGCAGCAATTTTTAACATGACACCACTGGTATTAATCTCAAGAGGTCAGTGAGGGCATGAGTACAAATGAAGACAGACAACAGCAGAGTAGAGCTTAAAAAAAGTAAAACACAAATGAAACAGCTAGAATGCCATTCAAAACAGCTAAAAGTCAAAAACAGAACACAGCTACAAAGATTTAAAAAAAACAAAAAACAAATATAAACTGTTTGAAGAAAATTTAGAACAGCTAAAACCTGTCAGAACAGACAAACTATGGTAAACACAAGGAAATACCAGGAAATAAGGCTTATTTCACATTGTGTGCTGCTGTTTTAACCTTTCTTTGAACCTGTTATTGTGTAACAGTACATTATGTTACAGTAAACAGATGCCTTCGCCAATAGCCTTCTGGCCAATGTAAACCCTGCCAGCAGTCAGCTGTTTGTCAGGTTGTACTGTATTGTGTTGTTAAATATTAGTCCTTTGTGTGTGTCTGCTGTGCACAGGTCAGACAGGCCGGTACGTTCTTATCTTGAAGCTACGAGCGAATGAGAGACACTTGGTGGCTGAAGACTGTCCCCTGCAGCAGCTGGCTCAGCTGGGACAGCAGGCTGCAGAGGTCCAGTTCATCCTGCGGAGGACCGGTCCCAGCCTCAGTGAGGGTCCAAACACACCCTCCACAGTGAGACGCCTCCCCCTGCCCAGACCATCAGAACCAGAGCCCCTCAAACACCACAAAGAGCCGCAAAAGGCCTTCACTTTCAATCTGGGACCCTCGACCTATCCTAAAAGGACTAAACCAGACAGAGGCTGGTCTCCGTCGCCCAGAGCCTCGCCTGAACCCCGGGCTTCTCCTGTTTCTTTCATAGACCCTCCAAACTCTGCGAAGGCCTCCAAAGAGGAGGTGTTTAGGCAGATTCTGCAGCAACAGAGGAGGCTGCAGGACCTGGATATTCAGCTTCAAGCTCTGGAGAGAGAGACAGAGCAGTGGGAGAGGTACTCTGCTGCAGCCCCAAGTCCGACTCCAGGCCTTGCAGAGGAACTGGAGGAACTGGAGCAGCGGCTGAGGCAGACCGAGGCAGAGCTGACGCATGCAGAGCCCTGGGAGGAACAGTTACAGGAAGAGATAGAGCGGGAACGAGGTAAATCTGTTTACATTTTACACATTTAAGCAAGCATCTTCATCCTTTGGCGTTATTAAAACGAGAAACTTTAATCAACAGATATGCACAAGCGTCTGCACCAGATACACTCGTCCATAGATGATCAGAGTTACAAGATCAGGGAGCTCCAAAGTCGCTCTGCACATCTCGAGCAGGACCTGCAGCTTACAGCCCACAGCCAGAGCTCTCGGGCGGGAACACCACAGCCAGACGAGGCCCTGAGGCCCCTGAAGCAGGAGCTCCACAACCGGCTGCAGCTGGGTGAAGAACTGGATGCAACACTGTCAGAGACGCAGAGGGAGCTACAAACTGCAGAGGAAAGGGTAAAGGTATAACTCTATCCATCATCTAAGATTCTCTCGAAGGGCTCCGTCACGCCAGAGCTTATGACAGAAGCACGTCAGACCCAAATGATCCATGGAACCCCCAAGGGAAAGGGAAAGGGAAGATTGTGTTTAAATAAAACCACCAAAATGACATTATTTACCAGAGCCAGAAACTGTTGAAACACAAAGAACTGTCATCTCTAAATAAACTACATTGTGTAAGAAGTAAAACGTATAGGTTTCTTGAATTCAGCACAATGCCGTCTGATAATATAAAATCTTTTGTGTCCTCTAGGACAGATTGGGGACGATCGAGGAGCTGAACAAGGAGCTGAGACACTGTAAACTGCAGCAGTTCATCCAGCAGACTGGTGTAACTCCACACACTGACCAGACAAACTCCCTACTGGTCAACGAAGTTTACCTCAGCAATGCTGGTATTGTGGAGTAGAAGGAGCCAAGACTCTGTCACTGAATATCAGCAGGTTGATTAAAATAATTCTTACCTACACTTTGGCTTTCTTAAGTCAAATATTAAAACAGAAAATAGTGACAGTGAAGAACCTACAATTCCTGTTATGGGAATTTCTATCTTCTCAGATCACATAAAGAAGGAAATGCAGCAAAAATTGTAGGAAAAAAGTGAAAGTCAAACTAAGTGAATGTAGCAAAGTGAACAACATCTTCCTCATTGATGTGATGGGTACATATGAAAATTCTGACTATATGCTTATACCTAAACAGCATTTTCTGTTTCTGCTGCAGGACTGGAAAAAAAAAACATGTTCTCAGAAACCTTTGAAACCCGTCCACAGTAGAGTGTGTGTGTGTGTGTGTGTGTGTGGTTAGAAATCACTGCCAGTATCTCTAAAAAGAAAAGGACTTTTATATGAAGTAATGTTGATGCTACTTGTTTTTTTTGCTTGTTAATATTTTATACTTGTCACATGAGTCTGTATTGTAATTAACAGTTCACACAGCTGTTGAAGACTATAATAATGTTATTTTTTTTGTATTTTTAAACAACGGACTGCACTGTACTCCTTTTCTGAATTAAAGTTCCCCTGATGCAGAAGTATATCGTTTTGTCTTTGCTCCACCAGAGGTCGTCAAAGCTTCATCTATGATGTGATGCAGCTTTGACTGCACACATTGTTAGCGCGTCCTGCAGCAACAGTGCAGTGCATTCAATTGAAATACAAACACACACATGCATAAATACGACTATAAGACATTAGAAAACACAGAAACTGGTCATTTGTAAAGCCCAGCTTGCTTCTTTCAATTTCTCATTTTTAGAGCAATCGTCATGAACACCAAACTATTCAGTGAAAAATATAAATATGAGACATTCATGGCATTCGTCCTTAAAAGTATACTTAAATTAAAATCATTGCCTTACTGTAAATCAAACTGAGTTTATTTACTTAGCATTTTTTTTCATTCAACAGTTCAAGTGACCAAGCAAGCAACAGCAAGAATATGTGCAAAAAAACAAGACAAGAAACTTCTAAAACAAAATAAAGGTAGTAAGACAAGAACGTTTTAGATCAATTTCTAAAATAAAATAAATTTACATGCCAAAATGTTAAGACCAACAGATTTTCCTTAAACATGTCTAATGGAGGAGGAACGAGGATCTACAAGGCCTGGAGGTAGAGTTGGAGCAGAGAAGTTAACCAGTTAAACAAATGAAAGAACCCCAGAATTCATTCTGTGTTTTGTAGGTAGCCAGTGCAGTGACGCTAGTAAAGGTGCGATGCTTTCCATTTTTCTTTCAGCATAAAGGTGTGGCTAATTTTCCAGTTGCAGACATGCTTTGATGCAACGTCTACCTACAAAAATAGAAAACTGCATCCGATAAGTCACGACCGTATTTATGACCATTCACCAAACAGTCAACACCAAAGTCTTCATCCCTGTCCAGATGTGGATCAGCAGCCAATAAGAAATGTGGCTTTTGAACATCTGGTTGTCATAATCAAGTCTGCTGCAGCTCTAAATATCAATAAAAATGCAGCTCATCAACAAACACTTCTAAAGATGGAATCCATGCAAAAGAATGATCCACAACAGTATCAAATCATGGTGAAAATGATCAACATCTATATATATTAGCATTTTTTGTCAAAAATAAAATCTTTAAAAAAATTATTATTGTTGTTGTTGTTAGTAGTTGTTGTTGTTGTATTTAAATGTTCTCATTTGTTTGTCACTTCCAGTCAGAGGAAATCTACTGGCCAAAAAAGAAATCACTATAAATCAAAATATGAACAATATAGGGTTTGACTATACGTAGACTTCTCAGACGCTTGTTTCTGCGCTCTCTGTAGAACACAGAATCACAGAGGAACCAGACCGGAGCCTAGAACCAGATGTGGACAAACATCTGAATCCAAGTCCAAACGCCGGATAGAGAGGTTCAGTGAATGTGCAGTAAAAGGTGTGGAGGGGGATCAGTGTGTCACAGGAGACTCTGTAGAAGGTCAGAGTACCGGCTGGACAGTCCAGATACACTGCTACTCTGTCACAGGCAGGCAAGGAGCGGCAAGGGAGTTTGGTTTCTCTGCCATTGTGATAAACAAAGCAGCCGTCAACAGAACAGCGCAGGCTCCAGGACTGATCGCTCCCTCCAAACCTGCACTCATCCCCGTCTCCTCTCCTTCTGATTCCTCTGTAGGTCACTGCTGCACAAACGTCTCCTAGCCACTCGGCTTCCCAGTAGGAGCGACCGGTCAAACCATCTCTACACAGAACCTGAGGCCAAAAGTCGAATCTGTCTGGGTGATCAGAGCACAACTGCTCCTCTCTAAATATCACCCTTTGGTTGCTGTTGTCCATCAGCTTGAGGTTTTGGTGTGCTGTGACTGGGTCCAGTGTGAGTTCACAGGCATCTGAAAATCCCAGGTGACAGTACTTATATTAATTTTTGCAAACTTAAATTTTATTTCACAGCTTGGAATAACAGTGTTAGTTGTTAAATATTTTATCATTTAGTGATACAAACATTAGGATGGGACCAGCAGTGTTCATCAGGATAAAGCTTGACTGATGTTCTACAGAGGTTATTTGAACACAATTGTCACTGAAAGTCTCAAAGATTGGTGTGATAAAGTCAGGGATTATTCTTAAATGACATGCAAACCGAAGCTTTTCTACTGCTGGAGGGAGATTAATCTTGAGGATATATTTGTTTAGATGGATGTGGGGGGAAAAAACACAAAAGTGCTTCAGTAAAAAGCAATTTGACTTCTTTTTTGGTTCTTGAAGATGTTTCACTTCTAATAAAAGAAACATTCTCAGTTTTCACTGACTACTTGGGAGTCCTACATGTTTATTCTCACCCTGAAAACACACAGCTAATGGCCCATTAATGACCCAGTTCTCACATGCCTTGAGCTGTGAATGGCTGCAAATCTGCCTTGTTAGGAATGACTCAATGATAACGAACATGAGATCTCAAGACTGCAACACAAGTACCTGATACGACAAGTCAAGTCATTTACATAGCACATTTAAAAGACTGTCCCTTATCCATTAGTTGTAGGTAGGCTGCTCAATATTGTCCTCAAGACTGAAGTACAACTGGGACTATCCAGTAGTCACTAAGAACTTAAGAAGCCTCTTGGACGAGAGGTGAAACATCTTGAGGAATCTAAAAAGACGTCCAGTTGCTTTTTCCTGAAGCATTTAGGAATACCATCAACCAGACTACTGAAAATCACTGAGGCAAAGAGGAAAACAAATTCCTAACTGTACTTCAACCAACATGCTGCAACAAAAAGTATCCTAATAGTTAGCCATGTATGGTGATGTCCTCATGAAGTAAATTTTAAACACTCACACTTTCTTACACCACGTACTAGCCTCTTCTCTCCACAGTTGTCCATCCTGGAGAAACAAACAAAGTTAGAGCCATACTCATGTTCTTTCCATTGTCTGTCAGCCAGTAAACATGCCACTGGTGTCTATCACACACTGACTGTATCAGGTTCATGATTTAACATGGAGCTGAGCAGAGCCTGAGCTCCACTCGGTTTTGTTCCAGGCCAAAGGGTCCTTGATTATATCATGGCTTCTCTTATGACTTCTATGCCAATGACACCAATCTGTTCTGGTCGTTATGCCAATCTGAAACTGTACATTCTAGAGCAACTATTGTGATAAAACAAGCTCTCATGAAAACTTCAAAATCTGTTATAGCACCTACTAACATCTCATGTCCTCCATTCTCACTTTCAACAAGTTTGTTTGGGGGGGATATGCAGGCAGTCTGTGACAACTTCTTGCTCTCATTCTTGCTCAGGTTAAATTAATCCAAAAAGCCACACTACCTCAGGGTCTGAAGTGCCCACTGAGGATCCTTCAGTCCAGCAGAAAGCTGCTGCACTCCTGAGTCTCCTGGATGGTTATAGCTCAGGTCCAGCTCTCTCAGATGGGTGGGGTTGTCACTCAGGGCTGAGGCCAAAGATGTACAGCCTTCTTTTGTGATCAGACAGCCTGACAGCCTGGAAACACACAAAAACACAAACAGAGACTTGATTGCATTGAATATGTAACGACTGCGGAGTTTTCATGGCGTGGACCTGCTGCAGAATGTATCTGATTACACTTTGTAAAGGATGAAGTAACAAAACAACCATCAGTTTTGTTCTATCAAAACAAATGCCAACAGGGTGGTCAAGATATTTACAGCCCAATTCTATGTAAAAGGGCTGCACACATCTTGTGGTCTATTTTTATGCGTGCAGAACTGATTCCTGAGGGCCCTTTACAAGGTGTTCTCGCACCAGTTTCGCTGATTACATTGCAAGTGTAGTAATTAAACAGTAATTACGTCTAATACACAGACTATGCCCCTGTTGTTCAATGCAAGGAAATGCATTTCTTTACAGATTTACATTACAAGCAACGAAACAACCTGTCAGCCTATTAGCTAATTTGTTTTTCCGTTTTACAGACACATTCCACATCATGCATGGAGATTCCAATAGGAATGAATAAACTTCTGGTTGGCATGCATGTATATGTGTACAGAGCTTCGTGGAAATGACGTGTCAGTGTTACATTATAAGCATTTTGATTTTGACAAATGTGCAAAATGCTTTGATCCTTGCCAGTTTACATGAAAACTAACACATTTACAAAGAATACAATTTGAGAAAAAAGACCCTTAATGAACTACAGAGGATCCTGTCAAATATAACACATGCAGTCTTGACTTGCTTCAATTATAAAACCTATTTAGAACATTTTTGGGTTACCTAAAGCTAAAGAAGGATTCGGTCACACAATTTGAAAGCAAATTAGCACAACTTTGTTATCATTTTTAATAGCATGGTGGTCAGTAAGGCTAAAGTTGCTGTAGCTGATAGCAAAAAGATTTGTTTAGGGTGCCCCGATAGCTCACCTAGTTGAGCTGGCGACCCATAAACAGGGGCTATAGCGGTCATGGGTTTGAGTCCTGCTCCTGACCATTTGCTGCAGGTCCTCCCCCACTCTTCTCCCCACTTTCCTGTCTCGCTCTCTCACTATCCTGACTAATAAAGGCAAAAAGGTCAGAAAAAAAAAAAAGTTTAGTTTGTTCTTAGCTTTCTGGGTCATTCTGGTTGAATGCTTCTTGATAAAACAATGTTTTCATCAGATTCCACTCATCACTAGGTGGTGATCAGTTGACAGCTCTGCTCCTCGCTTCACCCAAGTGTTCGAAATGTACAGCCGCAGGTCAGATGACACAACTACAAAGTCGATCATCAACCTTTGGCCCAAGGTGCTCTGGTACCAGGTACACTTAAGACACAACTTATGCAATCCATGACTAGCACAGAAGTCCAATAACAGCACACCACTCCAGTTCAAATCAGGCAAGCAGTTCCTCCCAATTACCTCCCCTCCACAATTCTCCATTGTTTCCCATGTGAGTGTTGAAGTCTTCCAGGAGAACTATGGAGTTTCCAAGCAGAACCCCTTCCAGGACACCACCTAGAGACAGCCAGGTACTCTGAGCTGCTATTCAGAGGTTTAGCACAAACAACAGACAGAGTTTTTCCCCTCCACAATACGCAGTTGCAGAGATGTAATCTTTCTTTGTCTGGTCCCTCCACCAGGCCCAATTTACCTTGTGAGACCCAACCTTAGGCAATGCCCCCGACAACATAGCTCCCAGGATCACAGGGACACTCAAACCCTTTCACCACAATAAGGTGGCATTTCTTGTCCTTATGGAAGCAGACCGACAGCACAGACGCAAGACATAAGATGTGGTTACCCAAGGAAGTTGGGTTTCCCCTGGGGTTTCGTCGAGGCAGCAAATAAAGCTTGGCTATGTTGTGTTTGCTTTGTAGTACACCCCTGTGATCCATCACACAACACCAGCCTCCATTGACAGCTAATCTCTTCAGCACATTAATGCTGCCACTTTTATTGAGGAAACAAAAACACAATGTAACAACCACTATGTCAAACACAGACATCAGAATCCTAACCTGAGAGTTTCCAGAGCACATTGTGGACTCTTCAGTCCAGCACAGAGTAGCTTCACGCCTGAGTCCTGCAGGTCGTTGTTGTTTAGGTCCAGCTCTCTCACACTCGAGGACTCTGAGCTGAGAACTGTAGCCAGAACTTCACAGCTTCTCTCAGACAGGTTACAGCCTGTCAGCCTAAAGGGAACAGATTTAGTCAGTAAATTCACACATTGAACATTTATTATAATTAATAGTTTTTTTTTTTTTACATCCAGGGTTTTTTTTTTTAAATTTTTATTATAACTACATCCTGACCTGAGAGTTTCCAGAGCACAGTGTGGACTCTGCAGACCATCACATAGTAGCTTCACACCTGAATCCTGAAGGTCATTGTTACTCAGGTCCAGCTCTTTCACATTTGAGGACTTAGAGCTCAGAAGTGAAGCCAGAGCTTCACAGCTTCTCTGTGAGAGTTTACAGCCATTTAACCTGAACAGCAATAAAAAATGCAAAAGAAAATGCTTGGAATTATGTATTCTTTCCTTGACTGCAGAGGCAACATTTAATCTGACTGGACATGTGTCTACTTACAGAGCTTTTTTGGAGGCTTTCACCACTGGCGTTAGCCACACAAGGGCTTCCTCTGAAGCCGAGTATTTCTTTAGGTCAAACACATCCAGGTCTTTCTCTGAAGACAACAAAATGAAGACCAGAGCTGACCAGTGATCAGGAGAGACTCTGTTTGAGAAGAGACTCCCTGAACTCAGGTACTGCTGAATCTCCTCCACTAGAGAACGGTCCCTCAGCTCGCTCAGGCAGTGAAACAAATTAATGCTTTTCTCTGGACAGGAATTTTCCCTTATTTTCTTCTTGATGTATAGAACCGTTTCTGCTGGTGAGTGACTGCCTGTCTGTGTTAACAAGCCTTGTAGGAGACTCTGATTGGTCTGCAGTGAAAGGCCCAGGAGGAAACGGAGGAACAAGTCCAGGTGTCCATTTGGACTTTGTAAGGCCTCGTCGACAGCACTTTGATAGACCTGGGTCATTGGGTCTTCTGACAGCAGATTTTTTCCAGAGTTGACGAACGTCAGATGGACATGAAGAGCAGCCAGAAACTCCTGAACGCTCAGATGGACGAAGCAGAACACCTTGTTCTGGTACAGTCCACTCTCCTCTTTAAAGATCTGTGTGAACACTCCTGAGTACACTGAGGCTGTTCTGATATCGATGCCACACTCCGTCAGGTCGGACTCATAGAAGATCAGGTTTCCTTTCAGCAGTTGCTCAAAAGCCAGTTTTCCCAGAGACTCAATCATCTTTCTGCTCTCAGGACACCAGTGTGAATCTGTTGCAGTTCCTCCATCGTATTTGACCTTCTTCTGTTTGGCCTGGACCACCAGGAAGTGGATGTACATCTCAGTCAGAGTGTTGGGCAGCTCTCCTCCCTCTCCGGTTTTCAGCAGCTCCTCTAGAACTGTAGCAGTGATCCAGCAGAACACTGGGATGTGACACATGATGTGGAGGCTCCGTAATGTCCCAACGTGGGAGATGATCCTGCTGGCCTGCTCCTCATCTCTGGATCTCTTCCTGAAGTACTCCTCCTTCTGGGGGTCAGTGAACCCTCTGACCTCCGTCATCATGTCGACACACTCAGGAGGGATCTGATTGGCTGCTGCAGGTCGTGTGGTTATCCAGAGGCGAGCAGAAGGAAGCAGCTTCCCCCTGATCAGGTTTGTCAGCAGCACATCCACTGAGGTGGACTCTGTAACATCAGTCAGGGTCTTATTGTTGTTGAAGTCCAGAGGAAGCCTACACTCATCAAGACCGTCAAAGATGAACACAACCTGGAAGTGTTCAAAGCTGCAGATTCCTGTTTCTTTGGTTTCAGCAAAAAAGTAATGAACTAGTTCTACCAGGCTGAAGCTTTTCTCTTTTAGCACATTCAGCTCTCTGAAGGTGAATGGAAATATAAAGAGTACGTCCTGGTTGGTTTTGTCTTCGGCCCAATCCAGCGTGAACTTCTGTGTTAACATTGTTTTCCCGATGCCAGCCACTCCCTTTGTCATCACTGTTCTGATTGGGTGATCTCCTCCAACTGTGGACTGAAAAATGTCTTTACATTTGATAGTTATTTCTGTTTTTTTTGGTTTCCTGAATGCATTTTCAATTTGTCTGATCTCATGTTCATCATTGACTTCTCCAGTGGCTCCCTTTGATATGAAGAGTTCAGTGTAGATTTCATTCAGAAGTGCTTTTTTTCCTGGCTGAGCAATCCCCTCAAACACACGGTGAAACCTCCTCTTTAGATTAGACTTAAGTCTACGTCGACACTCTGCACTTTGAGCTCCTAACACAAACAATAAATGAAATTAGGGACATATCCAAAAGAAAATTGAGAAATTCTAAAGGATAATGCTATCAATTTCAAATACAATGAATGCATCCTACTAACAATTCTGCCAATCCCTAGTAGTATTTGTATCCACACAATAAACACAGTGTGCTTGTGTCATCAAAGACACACTTACAAAACAAAACAAGGGTAACCTTGGTAATTTTTTGTCAATTTGAGATCAAGAAAAACCAACAACTTTACAGCTTGACTTGCTTAACAGCAAATATTTGGTGTAGTATTTGGGTGCTTTATCACTATTTTATTTGAATTTATTTAATTGAATTTCCCTTCTGGGATGAATAAAGTATTTTTCATTTCATTTCATTTTCATTTCATTTATTTTGCCACCTTTCCCCGTCTTAACTTTTTTGAAACGTGTTTGCAGGCATCAAATTCAAAATGTTCATAAGTTTTCAAACTTCTTGAAACATTTGATGCATTGCCTTTGCACTGTTTTTGATGTGCATTCTGTTTTTATTTTTATTATACTACTAAACACTGAGACAGGACTTTCAGTAATTAACAGAAAAATGTTTTTAAAACATCCAATGACAGAAGTCATTTAAAGGATTTCTAACCAGATACTTAAATTTTTTAAATGGAAACACAAAATATGTTCAAAATGTCTCAGAACTCTAAAGCTCCTTACTGTTCTGTAGGGTATTAGCCAGTTCTTCCTCAGACATTTTCCTAAGGCAGTGCCGTATCACCTCCATCACTGCCTCTCTGCAACCCTTTGTCTGCTCCTCCACCTCACCAGCCATCATGTCTTCATCATCCATCTGCTTCTCCAAGCATTCTGGGTAATCTGCTCTCAGTATTTTTTGGCAATTCTTCAGCTCTTTTTCCACCAAAGAGTAAATGTTCATCCGAACCACCTGGAAAATAACAACAAATTGAATGCAGTTGAATGTTGATTCATGTGATTTATCTGTCTGTCTGGAGGTTTAGTGAGTTAAACAGAGCGGTCTGAATAAGGCAAAGTCCAGAATGATAGGTAATCATTTAATTTGATATAGTTACTAGTTAAAGGTGCTTGGAGATGTACTCACTGTAAATTTGGCACTCAGGTTTTCTTGATATTTCTGGGCGGGCTGACCACTGGGTGCTGAGGGCTGCTGAAATCTGGAGAAAACATCATGAATCGATGCTTTTATGACACTATACCTCGAGTCACTGCGGATCTAGAACTTATTTGGTACAATCTGTTTTGACCTTTAAAGAGACATATGCCTTTATCTCTTTACTTACTGCAACAGCCCTTTAACCTGCCCTGAACCAAAAATCTCTTCAGACTGCACAGAACTCAGCTGCTGTGCTTTTCACCCAGTATGATTTAAGGCAGATTTTAAGATTTTACTGGTTCTTTTTAAGGCCTTTCATGTCATCTTTCCCACCTATATTTATGACCCTTTATTACTGTATGCACTCGTGCACACTTTGATGGTAGCCTTTCGTCTGGTCTAGGGACTGGAGCTGAAAACTAAAACAGACAAACTGTTGGCTCTTTCATTGCCTTCTAAAAACACACATTTATCAGGGAGGTTTCCTAAATTTAATTGAGTTTGAATTTCCTTTAGATGTCTTTAATTTCTTTTAAAAATGTTTAAAGCCNAACTTAACAGAAAAAAAGTACCGTTTTTGTTATGGTTAAATTCAGACAAAATAATTCAGGTTTGATGGCAACAAACTTTAACATGAGAAATTCAACAGCTTTTAAAATTTAGAATCAGATGAGCCTGATTTGCTTCCACGTAGCTGAGGGAAAGCCAACCCAGTCTCATGGCAATTCGTGAAATAGTCACGAAATTTTATCTATTGTTTCATGTCCAGGGACACCATTTGCCCAAGTTTGCCACCGTAGTAAACAATTCATGTTACAAAATACACATTAACGAAATCCATCTGACTGGCATTTTGTATCAGCCAGGCGGATATTGCTTATGTAGCAAGTCACGATGGAAATCTTTATAACACGAAATAGTCTTTTGACAACAAAAGCAGTAATTGTAAGAAAAACAAAACAAAGTGTTCAGGTATTTGATACTTTAAGCNCCAGTTGTCAGGTTCTAAGTGCAAAGTCTGTCAACATCATTGTGGTACCTAGAAACAGCAGCTTCGTGTTTACAGGTTGCGCAGACGTGCATGCAAAATGTACATCACATTCGTTACCAACAAATAATACATAATGTCTCAGGTTGGACTTATTTTGAAAAAAGTTTTATTTGGACAGGCATGGTAACCATAGTTCAACGTTCATTTTAAGTTTGTGTTGATGTTGGGATGCAAGATGGCAAATGTGACCAGGAGGATTTAAAATGTGGATTTTCGTACTGGGCTGGACACGAATAGGCGAATAGCCAACTATTGGTTCGCTGTGCTGCAATTGGTATATCAATTTTGATCTCCAAATGAGAGCAGCTCTGTCTACCATCACCCCAGACTTTGAAACTCTAATCAAGAGTCAAGCACGTGCCCAACTGTCTCATTAACTTCAACAAATGGCCTGATTAGGCCAAAACTTTATTTTCGAGTAGTGGTTAATGACCATGGGAAAATGTGTTTCCCAGGGTGAGACCAGTTGAGAACCCCTGATCTAGTGGACATATTGCAGATTCCAGTCGTCCTGCACCTGCTACAGCTCAATACCGAGTACTGTTTATTCCACCATGACAAAAGGTTTTGACATGTTTTGTTTGTTAATATACAGTACAAGTTAACAGGCCTTATTTTATGTCACACAAAACACTAGACTACCACAATTTCTGATTTGCATATTCTTGGTGTAAAATCCCTCGTTTTTCTCTCCTCGCTTTTTTAGTGTTGCTGATTTTTAACAATGAATCAGGTAACACTGTTCAGGTGGCTGAAACACTCCTTTAAGGTTTAAGAGCACGTGATAGTCAGAATGGATCAATACAAACACTCATCACCACAAAGTGTAACTGTCTCTTTACTTAGAGTGCATTTAGGAAATGAAAATGTGAAGTACCGAGCAAACAAGTGCTCAAATCTGACACCATGAATGCTGATCATTCTTTACATATAAAATG